TCAACTTCCCTAATCCTGTGGAAACTCAGCTCTGAAAGCTTTAGACTTGTCTTATCTTTCCAGTTCTTCTATGCTGCGAATCAGATGTATGTTAGGGGTTCCCTGCTTAAGAGAGAGCAACTCTGGTTTAGAAACACAAATAAGGATTCAGTATTTTTTTTCTCATATATTGAAGGTCTGCCCTATGACCTTGAATGCTGTAATTCCTGACCCATGTAGTTTTGTGTGCAATGGTCAAAGAGAACATTTTGCCAACAGAGAGAACAAAAGCTGCTGGAAACCAGTGTCCAAATTAAAATGTCTTGTTTCCTGCCACTAGCACTCCAATAGCTTTCCCTTGGTTCTCTCAGGAAAGGCATTATTGATATCACCTATTTCTCGGATCTTGCCCATTTTAAGAGCTTCTGTTTTAACTTCATCCGTACAAATGACAGCTTGGAAGTGGCCCTTCATCCAAAATAGCAGCTGTCCCCTACTGAGATAGTTTTCATCCTGTACTTGTTTTACTTCATAACGATAATGGTTGGCTGTTACAGTTGATGCATCGTCTTCTGGTTTGGCCACCTCTGCTTTTAAGACTTCACGTACTCCATTGAGTTAGTCAGTTTCGGTATAGGGGGCCTCCCCAATTTGGTTTTGCTCCATGATCTCAGCCTGTCTGCTCATTAGAATTGCCTTTTGTTAAGTCATCCCTTGGCTCAGGGAATGTCTCTTCTAAGATTCTGACAACAGTCATGTCTCTTAGTCCTTCTCTTACACAGCCATTCTCACATTTCCCTGCAACACTGTTCGTAACTGACAAGACTATCAATTCTTCCCTTTGTGGCTGTATCAGCTTATTAAAACTGAACAGTAAATAAAGGTATTTATTTTCAAGCTATCGTAACATTATTGTTTCCTTAGACGTAGTTCATTCAGCATTGATCTACTGCCTGACTTGGTCACCGTCTCCCTGCACAACCACTGAATGCATGTATCTTACCAGCTAGCTGCACAGCAATACATTTATCTCACACCAATTTGCCCATACTCCTACTTAACTGGAGCATGCAGTTTACTTGATAATGGCATATTGCTCTTTCATTCACTGTCATCATATAACATTCTGCCTTTTGCTGATACTAAAGACTATTTACAAAGGCTACAGAGGTATTAACTTCATGCAAGAAACATCTTACTGTAGCTTCATCTTGCCAGGAGGCTGCAAGAGTGATCAAAGTCATGTGGCATCACTTCTGTGATGATGCATATCATGTCCAATTAGCTTATTGTCTAGTCAATATAAAGAGTACACGACACCCCATTGGTATTATTGTCAGACTGAGGGGAGGGTGGGGTGGAATCCGAGTTCAAATCCTTCAATGGAATTTGATGCAAAGATTTAAGAGTTTAAGGATGACCATGGTGTACATTGTCACAGGGAAATTCCCATCTTAAAACTGCCAGCCTTACCTACACGCAACTCCAGACCTCACAGCAATGTGGTTGACTCTTAACTGTATCTATTACCCGTCCCTAATTGCCTTGGAGAAGATGGTGAGCTGCAGCTCTCAGAACACAGATACAGGGACTAGGATTTGACTCAATAGTAGTATAGGAAAAGCAACACATTTTGGTGAGCAGCTTGGACAGGAACTTGCAGGGGGTGGTGTTCCCATGTATCTGCTGCCCTTGGACTTCTCGATGTGGGTTTGGAAGATGCTATCAAAGGAGCCTTGGTGAGATGCTGCAGTGCATCTTGTACACACTGTTGCTTCAGTGTGAGGATAGTGAATGCTTAAGCTGATGACTGGTTGCTAATAAAGCTTTAACTTGGACAAGCTGAGCTGGAGTGTTGTTGCAGCTACATTCACCCAGACAAGTAGTGAAAAGAGTGAATACATAAGCTGGAGACCAAGGCAGGCAGATCTCATCCCAACAGATGGTAAATTCTGCAAATCAAGAGAGTGTGCAGAAAAAGGGGCAGGTGGGCACATAACTTGAAAACCAGAGTGATGCTAGGAAACACCACCATTCCAGGGGGTCAAAAAGCACAGCATCACCCAGGGTCACCAACACGCTCACCCACAGAAAACCTAACAAGGTTCGAAACTCCAAGATGGACACACTACTGTTGGGAAACGGTTAGAGAAGCAGCACAGGTCGGGGCATTAAGATGGATAGGGTGGACAGCAAAGGACTGTTCCCCAGGGTGGGGGAGTCCAAAGGGCACCGGTTTAGGGTGAAAGGGATACGATTTAGAAGGGACCTAAGGGGCAACGTTTTCATGCAGAGTGGGGGTGTGTGTATGGAAATGAACAGCCAGAGGAAGTGGTGGAGGCTGGTACAATTACAACATTTAAAAAGCATCTAGTTGGGTACATGTATAAGAAGGGTTTCGAGGGATATGGGCCAAATGCCGGAAAATGGGATAAGATTAATTTAAGGTATGTGGTCAGCACAGACAGGTTGGACCGAAGGGTCTGTTTGTGCTGTACATCTCTATGACTCTTGGTGGGTTTAAAAGCTGGTGGAAGACAGCTGAGAGGCACAGGAGAAACTGTGTGCTTGGGGAGGGCTGTACCTTTACAGCCACCAGGGCTGCAGGCAAAGAAATAGACACAAAAAGCTTATACAGGCAGAGAAAAAAAGAAACAAACTTCATTTTACGAAATAAATACACAAACAAAACAAAAACCTTTATTTTTATATAATATATCTATATATATTTATATATGTGCGTGTATGTGCATGTGGGTGGGTGGGATGTGTATGTGTAGTTTTCTTTAAATTACAGAATAACAAAATAATCTTTTCTCCAAAAGAATCTCAAGCATTGGGTGAGGGGGGAGGAGCAGGTCTGTTCCCATCTCGATGACCGGCCCAGGGCGTCAAATTTAGGTTAAAAACGCAGACAACGCGACAAAAACTTTCCGAACACGGCGGTTTCCCCTCCCCAACACACAAGCAAAGGGTGGGGGTGGGGGGGGAGCAGAGGAAATTAGGACACAATCACAAAGCAGTAGGCCATACTGCTGCAGGAGGAGCTTACAGTTAGCAGCAAAGCACAACTAGATTTTTTTTTAAAAACAGTCAGGGGAGGGGTGGGTAAACAGGCTGGGGGTTGCGACTCTCAAAAGGAGAAGCCTAGAACTAAATGCAGAGGCCTTTAATAACTTTGAAGAAGTCTTTTTTTTCAATGAAATGAGCAAAGAGAGTGTTTCTCACTGCTGTGTGGGGGAAGAGAATCAGAGCTAGGGGCTATAGGGGTAAGGTAGTCACCAAGCAGCCTGACACAGAATTCCATATAATCACCTCAAATCAGACAACAGGGGTCTTCCTACAGTTTGGAGTGGATGAGGTCAACTCCATCTAACAGGAAGCTACTTAAATGCAGGAGGAAGGGGCAGAAGGAATTGAGAACGAGAAAGGACAAGGCGTTCAGATGGATGGGAAGCTGGTTCATGTGGAGCTTAAGGCCTGCATGGAAGCGAGCTGGCCCAAATAGCCTGCTTCTGTGCTGCACAGTCTATATCCCACTGTGTCTGTGATACTCCCTGTCAAAGGGATCACCCCCTTTGTAGCTAATGGTTGATGGACAGGAACACTGGGATACCCCGAGTCATGCACAGACCATCTAAGGGACACTTGCTTTACAATGTTACATCCCCCGCTCTTGGAGATGGACTCGTGGATTACAGGCCTCACCAACACTGGTGGCTGATGCTAAACACACTCCATGAACTGCTCAATGGACACATTTGGCAGTTGGCAGATTCAAGGTGGGGAGCAATGAAAATATCTATGAAAATGGAGCCTGACTTTCCACCTCTCCACCTTGCTCTTTGGAGAAATAGACAAGAACTCCAAAGGATTTGAGGAATGGAGGATGGAGCACACGACAGGAAAATGCTCCATCAGTCTTAATGACCTCTTGTTCAATGTTCTCTCCGAATGAGGTGCATTTTACGCTGTCCTGCCCTTGACTACCTCGTCACTGTATTTCTGGTCCACCTCCACCCCCCCGAAATCAATCGGCCCTCCAGACCTGCACCTCATTGTTCAAAACATGAAAAATAGCAGGTGTCTCACAGAGAGCTTCCTACACTGGAAGGGACTGAGGCATAAAGAGGAAAATGGAAAAAGAGAAATAAGTCAATAGCAAAACGAGACAGCAATTGAGATCAGGCAGGAAGGAATTAAATACCGGCAGAATTTCAAAAGTGCAAAGTGGGAAAGGAAGCAGCTTAATGATACAGAAAATGTGAAAGAAAATTGCACATATCCACTGAAAAAGATACAGTATACAGAAAGAACACAGACAGCAGTAAAGGCAGAGAGACAGAGCGGAGGGCGAGAGAGAGAGAGAAAGAAAGAGAGAACAGTGAGACAGAGAAAGAGAGGGGGGGCACGGTGCGAGAGAGGGTGGAGGGAGAGAGAAAGAGGTGACAGAGGGGAGGGTGAAAGGGGGGGTGATGAAAGAGGCGGGGGAGGGCAAAAGAGAGACAGAGGGGAAGAGGGAGAGAGAGGCAGAGGGGGAGAAAGGGGAGGAACAAAAAAGGGAAAGGACAGATGGAGAAGAGAGGGGATAGGTAGAAGGGGCAAGAAAGAAAGAAAGAAAGAAAGAACGAAAGAACGAAAGAAAGAACGAAAGGAATAATGAGAAAGATACAGACAAACAGAGACCAGGTCTGAGAGGCTGAGCTAGGGAGTGACAGAAAGGGAAACAGGCAGAGATAGGGAAGGTGGGCATAGCCTGGGAATGGGAGAGGATGTCAACAGGGAGAGTGGCTGACCAGGGGGAGGGATGCAGTGGAAGATATAACAATGACACTAAGTGACAACAGCAAAATATTCGAGCAGAAAGTGCTTTCAAGTTCATAATAAAAGTCTAACATACAAAGAACCAGGAAGGAGAGCCGGCACAAAACCCAATATCTGCTGCAGAGTCCCGTACACAGTGTCCCCCGCACAGTCCCATAGCCAGTCTCCCCAGTGTCCCCCG